GATCTACCCTTATTTTGCTGTGTGTTCTGTCTGTGTAAAGTTTACCTTGGAGTCTCAGTTTTGTTACTTTTTGGAGTTCAGCATTAAAGCTGTATTTAAGTTCACCTTTGATTTCTGTGAGTCTGCATTTTGGGTCCTTCATATCACCACCCCTGCGTGCACACAGCCTTCACATAACAATTGTATATATATATAAATTTATATTACATTATGACCTCAGCCTTTATGACCCTAAACTTCAATAAGTAGTAAAGGCAGAATGATTTGCAGCATTTTAACTTTCACTTCTAGTTGCAGGATCTCTAACATTAGAATCATAAACTGTGCCTCATATAGGTTTTATTTTGGTACTTTACACGTCACACAGTTTCAAACATTGCTTATATGGCAAAGTTCCTCTTTTCGGTGTCTTATCTATTAATATGCCTGTGCACTAAAACTTCCTGTTTTTCAGTCTGGCTGAGCACTTTGTGAGTCAAAAGTGGCCTTGCTCTACAAGCCTTCATTATTAAAGTACATAAAACAATATAATAGGAAAATAAGGATACTAAGGATATTGATTTCATGGCACTCTTCAACAATGAGACCTCTGGCCACGGTCCACTAATATGGTGTTTATAACACCACCCAGTTCTCCTGCTTTTTTGCGATTGTCCAGTAAAAGTGTTGAATTATCATACTATTACAAAAGACATACATATGAAATTAATGCATATTGAATAGAATTTAAATGTTATTATAAAAAGCAAAACTTCTTGCTTTGATCATGCCTCCAGTACACAATTAGTAAAAAAAAACATACATAGATAATTGAAATGGAAAACAGTAACACAATTTGTTATATGTATAAAAAGATAACATATTTGTCAAAAATTATTTCAACACTGAGCATTTTCAAAAATATGCTGTAAAATTTTACGTCAGTAATGCAACACTCACTATACAACAAAAAGATCAAAGAAACAGTGCAGTTACGCCAAAAAATTATCAGACAAATATAAAAAACAAAGAAATAGTGTCGAAAAGTGAAAATTCTTTAAAAAAAGACTTGATTTTAGATATATACATTTACATTGCAACACATAGACAGTAAAGTTTTTGTACTTTTTCAGAAAATTTAAATTTAAACCTTTGACTTAAACATAAAATCCAACTTCAGATATTGATTTTTAAAATCTTATAAGAATTCAGAATTCTTGCCTATTGACACAACTCTTGTTTGTTTTCTATCAGCACTCTTCCAACTGTCTGAAACTCAAACGCATACCAGTTCAGCACATTGCCTGCTGTGAAGCTCAGATTATTCGAGTAGTTCTGGATCTCACAGGAGGAAAGGGTGTGGTCCCACATGTGGACATCGGACATCATCCCAACAAAGGACTGATTGATGTCAAATCCCCCACCATGGGTATCCTGTTCCTGAGAAATGGCAAAGAGTTTAATTAGAAGATGTATTGTTATATTTTGATATACATAACTGTATGGTCTCAAGCAAAATCATCTACAGTTAGACATCAGTCAAGCTGTAATCACTGGCTAAAAACAGTTTGGTGATATCACTGACACATCTTTAAATTGTATGATCTAATAAACTTTGAGTATTTCATTTATGTGTTTTAGTATTCAAATGTATAATTTCTTCTAGCCCCAGAGTATATTATACATATATTGGATGTAACATGTAGCCCACAAAACATACTCTAAATATAAACGCTCTTATGCCGCAATGAACCACATGTCCATGAACATGAACAAATGGATCAAATTTTGAATTTGTATTATATTTGTCAGTGTCTGTTTGTTTGAAGATAAAGTAAAAGTTTTCTGTGTGTGGTGCTTTGTAAAGGTACCTGTCCTAAGACAATGATAATGGGTCCATTGATGTTGGATCCAGAGCTGGTGAATTTTCTACTTGAGGGGACTCCATCGACCCACAGCTGCATGAGTCCAGAGGTAGCGTCCCAAGTGGAACAAATAGAATGCCATGTGTTCAACTTGTAGGCAATCCCTTCAACTGCATTCGACTTGCCCCTGGCCCACAGGTCAAATAAGCCATTTGCAGCTTTCTTGAATATCAGGAAGTTATTGTCAGCAGAGGGTGTAGCCAGAGAGAACAAGGAATGGTCTCTATTGAGGTCAGTAAAGGACCTAAAAGCAGTGAAAAATTGATTTAATAGTCTGATATGCGGTAGTTACATGTTTCTTTATTTAATTCAGTTTGTTTAATTAAAAATACCTGAAACACACGGTTACAGCCTTCAGATCTTGTCTTGATGTAGTCACCCTCACATGAGCTGTATTGGTTTGTTGTGGGAAGGTGAATATTTTATTTGCCAGATCTTTAAAAAAAATAGAGAAACATATGAATAATGCAAATAGAAAAGGAAGTAATAAGCAGCATACTATAATAAAAATGAATTAATAAAAGAATATTTGAGAAAATCTAAAATCAAAACAGAAGAATGATTTTTGTTGAAGCTGTTTGTCTTTACGGCAAAGTTTGCCCTCCACAGAGCAACAGCACTAGTGCAGCTAATGCTTCACAATACAACAACACATCACATTCAAATTAAATATTAACTATAGGAATTCTGTTCCTGAGAAATGGCCGAGAGATGAATTAGCAGGTGTATTTCACTCTTATGTTTTTATGACAGATGACAAAAAGTCTCATAGAAGAATAATGAGCTTTTCTGGAAAACATATTGCAGACATGCAATGATTTATGCAATATGATTTTTCATTTATGCAATATTTTATCATTACCAATGCGCATTCAAATGAAATGTATACAAATTTAATTGGTAGTGAAAATGTTAAATGCAACCTTTAAAAGCTCGAATTTTCCCTCCATAATACCTGCCCATATCTGTGTGCCCTGAAACATTCTAGCTGGAAACTCAGATCATGGCATATTAATATTTGCCATTGTTTGATTATTTCTGACATATTTGGAATTAATCCCTGCCTCTAACACTAAGTATCAAATGTATTTAAAAAAAACCCAATTACAATAATAGGTATAGAATTTGAAAGGAAGGAAAATTGGTTTAGCCATAAGTTTTGCCAAGTGAACTTAAGGTGTGGTGTTTAAACATATTCTGTCTCTTGTCATCATAAGCTGTGTAGCAGGCAGTCTATGGACCCAAATGCAGGACTGAGATGGAGTATTAAACCCCAAGGCGGCAGTTTTTATTCACTGGCAGAAAAGGAACTTAGAAACACAATACTTGAGCACTAGAAAATAAAACCAAAACTCAAACTAGGAAGGATGATCTAAACTGGGAGTTCATGACAAGACCAAGAGAAGCGAAACTAGAAACACTAACATGAGATAGGACCTTCAAAGTAAAACAGGAAGCACACGACAGGCACAGACTTGACACTGAGCTAAACCTACACTGAACACGAGGACACAGGAAAAAAAATTTACAGAACATAGAAGAACTTGAGTGCTAGAAATACAAAACTAGAAGTCATAAGCCACCATGATGAAATCCAAGACCAAAAATAATAATACAAAAAACTGAAACACCAGGTCACCGACCCAGGACCGTGACATCTATTCCTGCTTTCCTTTTGAATAAGGATGAAGGAGTATATATATCTAAAATGGTAAACATGGACACCTCTAATGTTAGTATTTATCAACACAGTAGGCTACACACTCTAAGTCTAATACACCTTCATTGTTATTAATTTTGGTTGCATATGTTAAATACTTAATAATTAAGATAAATAAAAAAAAATAGAAGGTACTTTGAGGGATTGCAGTGCACGATGTCAGCATCACCAGTAGAAGCACCAGCAGCATCTACAAAGACATACAAACATACCAATTCACATTGTTTATTGGTACTGGTGATACAAACAAATCTGATGTCACTTTCATCATCCGCACCACAATACAGGTAAAAAACGGAAGGGTTTCTGCACATGCAATACATTTGGTTTCAATATGAAAATCATATCTTACCTTGGATACAGTGTCAGGATAGAGCCTTCTATACTCTGGGTCCTTTTGTGAATGGTTTGTTTTTTAACAGTGCAGAATGGTTCCTTTAATACCATGGCTGCTGCTGTAAATGGTTAATTTTTTATGGCAGTCATTGTTTCTGTAAATTTCCATGTTCCTACTTCCCGCACGTGTGTTTACAACTTACGGGATTAGATCCAAGGAATCTGAAAACTTCCCCTTCACGCCTATAGCGAAGTTTGAATCAACAGTCACTAACATTCATGTCTTTGGGTTATAGAAATAAGTTAGAGTATGCGGAGTAGAGTCTGTTTTGACAATCTTGTCAATTATAAGTGACACAAAAGTGTGCATTTCATTCTTACAAATGAAACAGAGAAGAAAAAGGGGTACGTATCAATACATTACACACAAAGCCCAGCTTTGAAAACTCCAAACTATGTAATAAAAAATGCAATATACGCTTTAAAACCATTTTTATTGTGTAACATATTAATAGTATAGATTGGAAAAATTCTTTACATTGGGCATAAAATTGGTATTAACAGTATTAACAGTAACGGTATTGCTTGTCTTCTATCAACACTCTTCCTGTTATCTGAAAATCCAGAGCATTCCAGTTCAGCACATTCCCCAGAGTGAAGCTCAGCTCATCTGAGTATTTTTGGATCTCACAGGAAGACATGGTGTAGTCCCACATGTGGACATCAGATATCATGCCAATAAAGGACTGATTAATATCAAATTCTCCACCATAGGAATCCTGTTCCTGAGAAATGGCAAAGAGTTGAATTAACAGTTATATTGCACTGTTTCTGACTGACACAATGTCACAAATAAGGAGAATGAGAATATTTGGAAAACATAAATAAATAAATGCTGTGAAATTTCGAAACATTTTAATTATATAACATAATAATAGTATTGTTTCTCCAAGGTACAGTGGCTTGGCTTATAAACTTTTCCACATTTTGTCACATTGTCACTCTATTTAGTCATTAGCACTCATCAGGCAATGTCTATGGGCAACTGACTGCACTCAGACCAAAGGGGGCTGAATAATTACGTGACAAACACGTGTGAACTGTGTTTGTCGTTTGGAATCATGTATGATTTTCGTTCCACTTCTCACGTGTACACCACTTTGTGTTGGTCTTTCACGTGGAATTCCAATAAAATTGATTCATCTTTGTGGCTGTAATGTGACAACATGTGGGAAAGTTCAAGGGGGCCGAATACTTTTGCAAGCCACTGTAAGTAGTCTGAGTCACCTTAGCATAGTACATAAAATGGAAATGGGGAAATCTAAAGCAATGCTGATCCCAAAAATACTAAAACCAAACCAGGAAAAATGCTTCACTGGAAGTTTGGAGCTGCACTCCTTATGGATATCAGCACAGGTTCCAGACAAGTATTGTCAGGTCTTATACTCTTTTTGTTAAATATAAAATTGTGGTTTTCACTTTAATTCTTGTCTTTAATATAAAGTGAACTTGAAGCACTAGTATGTTGGTTACAGATCCAGAGCTTCAGCCTGTTTCCCCATCGCTCTGTGCTAAGCTAACCTAATTAACCTCTCAGACCAAATCACTGTACTTTATCTAATATAGCAACTGTACACCAGTCACAGTGAGTTTGAACTGTACCTGTCCTAAAACAATAGACATGGGTTCACTGATGTTGAATCCAGAGCTGACGAATTTCCTGCTGGAAGGCTTTCCATTTACCCACAGCTGAATTATTCCAGAGGTAGCATCCCAAGTGGAACAAATCGCATTCCACGTGTTCAGCTGCTAGTCTTGCAATGCAAATTCAGCATTTTTGTCCCTGACCCACAGATCAAACAAATCACTTGCATCTAGTTTGAATATCAGAAAGTCATTGGAAGCAAGCGATGTTGCCAAAGAGAAAATAGCGTGGCCTCTTCTGAGGTCTGTAAAGGATCTGTAAGCAATGACAAGACACTGACATACATGATGATGCTTATGATTATGATGATGATGATGATTATTATTACTATTTGATTTTGCATATTCAACATTACCTGAGACAAACAGTTACA